CATTTCTCCATACCATGTCCCCACTTCGTCGTTCCATTTCGTTGTCCCCCACCCTTTCGGTCACCTATAAACAAAAAAACAAATTCAAAATGCTTTTACATTTTCAGAATTCAAAATATTTAAACATTTTGTACCGGACAAAATTGCACCGCTGGGAGGCTATCCTTTTACTACGTAGCGTAAAAGGAGTAATTCTAGTTATTATTTATATTATCATTATTAAAACAGTATTTTTATATTTAATTTATTTCTGCCCTGTCATGAAAAACCCACTCAACTTACATATTTTTCAAAATGTACTTTTTAGCTATTTGTTCTTTTGGGGACATGTGTATTCAGAATTTTGAAATTATAACTGAAAATATGAAATTCAAAATTAAAATATCACTCAACTGCAAGTCACAACTTTTCAATCGTACATAAGTGAAGCTGACGAGAAACAATGCGTACAGTGGCCCAAGCCTATGTCGTAATTACGACATAAATATGTCGAAATTACGACATACGTATGTCGTAATTACGACTTATGTCAAAATTTCGACATACGTAAGTCGTAAATACGACTTATTATGTCGAAATTTCTACATACGTATGTCGTAATTACGACATACGTATGCCGAAATTTCGACATAATGTCGTAATTACGACTTACGTATGTCGAAATTTCGACATAATAAGTCGTAATTACGACATAAAAATATATATTTCAGTGGCCCTAATAGGCTTTCGTAGTATGGTAGTCTTGTGGTAGACCAATATATTATTTATTTTAACAAGACTGACTGAATGCTGCTGTCGTCGTCGTGTCTTGTACGATTGCCAGGGAGTTGTTATAGTGTATTGCACACCAACAGCAACGTCAATTGCCGTGTTCATCGTGTGTAAAAGTCTTTAGGTAGGTAAGCACATTCGATTCAATACTATAATGTAAAATATTGTTCAGATCACGTTAATTTTTACTAAAACACACGTTACACCTACTAGACGACAAGCAGAAGTCGACTTACCACAACTACCTAAGTTCACCCTATGGCCTAGACGTTCGCAAAAACAACACAGACAACTTCTCTAGTGTAAACTGTATACTCTCGCGATAGAAAACAAAATTTCCGCAAAATATTGAACACGTTCGATCCAATACCATTATGTAAAGACCGTGTTTGGTTAGATCACTTTTTTCATTTTTAATAATACGTGCACCTGCTACATTAACACGACAGAGGCCTAACCCTACCGACGATCCCGTAAACAATTGGTCAACTACACCAACAAGGTATGCATTATGGAGCTCGCTTACCCTCTCGCGATGAAAAACAAAATGTCGGCAAAGTTTTTCTGACACATGCGCATATCAAAATTTTCTCCTAAAAACGACTTAAAAATGGTGGTAGGGGGTATATGTTTTATCGCGTACGTCCTACATTTCTCATCTAACATAAACAACAAACAATTCTTGCACAACTCCACCAGTTACTATGAGGAAAACATTATACCCACCGTGAGGCACCGTTTAGGAGCCTATTCGTTTACAAACCCGCTGCTCACTTTGCTCACACACACACACACACACACACATACATTTCATGTTCGAATTATCCTTGTGACCTTAAGGTCACAAAGGAACTAAAAATGGAAAATTTAAAAAGTTAGAAAAAGGTAGGTCTTGAGTCTCTCCTTAAAAATGGATAGAGAAGGAGACTGTCGGATCTCAATAGGGAGTGCATTCCATAGCTTGGGAGAAGCAGCTTGAAAGGACCTCTCTCCATATTTAGAACGAATTAAAGGGGTAGATAAAGTATATGGACATGAGGTGGAACGTAGACTTCGATAACATGTTGATGACTGGAGATGGACAAGATTGGTCAGTTACGTAGGCGATAAGTTGTGAAGGCATTTAATGAACAAGGATCTTAAATGTAATGCGCTGCCTTACTGGAAGCCAGTGAAGTGTTTTCAATGTAGAGGTGATGTGTTGAGTTTTC